GAGATGGCAGCTGTGCCCCTGCACTCATGGAGGAACATGGTGGAACATTCCCTGAAGGTGCCAGGAGAGGTGAACTTGGCCAGTGGACTTGGATTTTGTGGGCAGAGGATTTGCTGCCAGTGGACTCTGACTGCACAGCTTGGGAAGACCCCGGTGCCAGGAGAGTTTGTTCCCAAAGCAGCCCCTGACTCTGGGAAGCCCAGGCTGGAGCAGGGAAGGACTCATGAAGGAGAGGTTCCTGGAGGACTCTCTCCCCTGGGAGGGACCCTGTGGGGAAGCAGGGAAGGACTGTAAGGAATCCTTCTTCCTGAGGAGGAAGGAGCAGCAGGAACCACCAGCCTGTGAACTGACTCTAAACCCCATCCCCTGTCCCCCTGTGCCGCTGGGGGGAAGGAGGGAGAGAAACTGGGAACAAAGGGATTTGGGCCTGGGAAGAAGGGAGGGGTGGGGTAACATATGCAGGCCCTGCTCTGTGTGTGTCTGTGTCCTGTGTGTGCTTGATTGGTGTGAAATTAAATTATTATTTTTTCCCCAAGTTGGGTCTGTTTTGCCCGGGACCTTAATTGGTGAAGATCCCTCCTTGTCCTTTGTCTCAACCCAGGAGCTTTGTCCTCCTCATCCCAGTGTGTGTGTGGGGGGGAGTTGAGTGAGCAGCCATGGGACTGTTCTTTGTGTTGGGCCCAAACCACAACAGTTTGTTTTCTGTTGTGTTATTTTTATTTTTTTAATTTTTTTTTGGGGGGGGCAGGTGGTTTTGTTGGTTTTTTTGGTTGGGTTTTTGTTTGTTTGCTTGTTTTTTTTCTCTTATTCATGGAACTCTTGTCACTTTAGAACTATAGTAGTGTTCTTTACAAGCTCTCCAAACATCTCTTCACTCTAGTTACCAAGATGCTAGCTAGCAGTGAACACATATATGCTGAGGATCTGCACACTGCAAAGGCAGAATTCACAAGGTGAGAAAAACAAGTATTGTGTAACACTCAGTTAAGATAAGGTTTCCTTCAATCCTTAAGCTGTTTCCCACAACCATTCTGAGGATCACCTCCAAAGCCTGCTGAGTCATGGGAGATTCTGGAAAGTTAATTTCTAGCTTTCATCCTGCATAAAGCCTCTATGGTTCATGGGCCTAACATCTAGTGAGCTCTCTACCAGTCAGCTGATCCACTGTGTTTCATCCACCACTGGGAGGAGAGGGAGAGATCTAGTTAAGCATCTAACTCAACAGCCCTAGTGGGGCACAGTCCAAGATAAGAGCTAGAATGGATGCTGATGGCCAGCCTAGTGATAGAGTTTGCAAGTGATCCTCGTGTTGGAGGATGTGTTCCCTGTCATGACAGGAAACAGCAAGGAAAATAGCTATTTGCAAGGGGGAAGGGGAGGTCAGCAAGAGGAGCATTGCAATTATTTGATAGTATGAGGCCCCCAGTGTTCTCTTTATGCAGGAGAATACAGTCATGAATAAGCTGAGAAAAACCAGCCACAGCTGTGTGAATTTAGAAATACCCAAAAAAACTTTCTACCTTTTAAATTCTATTTCAAATTCCCTGCAAAAATGCTAAAATTTCACTGCCGTGGGTGTTTATGGGATGGTTAAGGCAGAGTAATTGATGTTTGGAAGGGTGCTGTGTACTTGTACTTGAGATATTGCTGTCAGATATCCAGTCTAATCCAATTCTCATACTGCCAGGTACATAAAGCGGATGTCTGTCATCACCAACTAGTTCTATCCCTGACCAGTCCCATTAAGATGTTCAAAATACTGACTTGCAGTGTTGCTGCTTTAGTTATTATGGTGTTTCCTCACGTTCCTCAGAGTCACAATCTCTCCTTTCCTCTTCATGTTGAAACACAGCTTGTTGAAGGACCTGGTTGTCTGGCACTCTCAAAACATGGCCAAGGTCAATCTGTTTTGTCCACTGTACTCTTTGTACAGCTGTGGATGATCACACAAGCTCTGAAATCTCAGCATTCCTTTTGCTCTCTGGCTGCTTTATGATCACTGCCCCCTGCAGACATCCATACTGAAAACACTTTGATTTCTCGGGAATAGACAAGTTCTTCTGAGACGTCAACTTGTACAGGTGTATGTGTAATGTATTTTTAAGAACAGTGGCTTAAAAGAGCTCACAGGGAATCTTAGTGTTGATGCGAATGACTTCTATATGGGATGTATACTTGTCATGGAAACAGACAAAAGATTCCACTCATTTTGATATCATATACTTAGACCAGTGAGTAGAGACATGCATATCAAGTAACGGTATCCTGAAAAGCCCCCTGCTCCAAGCTTACTCTGTGTTGTATATTAACTGTACACAGTCCACGGTAAAGTTAGAAACCATTAATAAAGGCATTTAGCATTAAAAAGGCATTAACGTTTTGCTTGTTAGTTTTCTAAATGAGTATTGATTCTTTGGGATTTGTGGATATAAATAGATTTTCCTGCACAATAGGAAAAGAAGAACTTCATGCTGACTTTTTAAAGGTGAGGTTACAAAGGCATATCAAACCTTTATTAGTTTGCTATCTGGGCCCTTGTTACTGTGACAGAACGATAAAATGTTCAGTCTGCAATGAGCACCATTTTGTTATTATTTCAGTTTTCCATGTTGGAGCTGAGCAGCACAGCAGACAGGCACAGCAGGGCCAACATTTTGGAGACACCTAGTCAAGTAACAGATTATGACCACGTTTCTAGCTTCACAGAGGAGGTGTTCAGTTTTACCATCCTCAGCATCTTCAAGGTCATCACCCTGGACAAAAAATTACATTCTTAGACTAATAACTCTTGACAAGGTCTTCTCCAGCTCATTTTCAATGGACAAAGACCCGTAGCACTACTGTACTTCATCTGCTTGTCTTTAATTCTCTGTTATGATGTAGCTCTGTGCAGGAGTTCCATCAAAATACTTCCCTGAGGCCCTACAAAAACCTTCTGATTTCTGTGTCTCAACCAACACATCTTTTATTTTTCTACAGAGTACGAGGAGGCTCATGAGCCTCCTGTGGCACAGATGTAGCAGACTAAGTCTGATGCCAAGACACTGTTCCTAGAGCAACTTGGTACAAAAAAGGCAGAACTAAACTGGCATTAGCATCTAAACAAGGTGAAACCTAGTCAGTACAAGTCACTGCGACCCTGTGGAGCAGAAGAAACTTGGATGAAAGTAGCATCAAAGTGCAGGAAGGTATAAAGCTATGTGGGAAGGTAGATGGAAGACCACCAACACACTTTTAAGCAAAGGCTTGTGCAATGCAAATCTGTAACTGGTACCCCCTACTCCTGACCCCTCATAATATGGTTAGCATAACTCATATCATTTTATAAGGCAACTGCTTCCTCCAAGGACTGAGCGAGTGACTTGTATTCTTTCATGTTTCAAGTTTATATTATGATTGTTATATTGATACTGCAAGCCAAGTACTAATATTTGATGTGATCTGCAGAGGGTTCAGGTAATTAGGAACTGTAAGCTAACCTGTGCTACAGATTTTCTGCCGTGCTACTTATAAAATTGTGCTACAGAAATTCTGATTATAAAAATCCTGTGCTATTCCAGTCATAAAATTGTATGCTATGCTGATAATAAAATTCTGTTAAAAAACTCCCCAACTTTAATTGTAACCACATCTTCGAGCCATCATCATTCTGCTCAGGATCCCTGTAGTGTTGGGTGCCAAAACCCCTTTCATGTAAAATCTGTCCTGGCCAAGCTGGGAATAAATCAACTAGAAGTTCCATACATATATCTGGTGCAGGTGTAGCTATTTTTTCAGCAAGGGAAGCAGTTTTACTACAGTGTCAATACATCAAATAACTCATTCTCCAATCTAATAAAAAGCAACAGATGGCTCTTCAGTTCTGTATTGTGGAAAGGGAGTGGCCAGCCACAGAGAAAACAGAATCAGAAAAAGTCAAAGGTCCTTGAGACCAGCAGTACCAGCAGAGTGCATGCTCAGGGGGGCACTTGTTAATCTCCATTTTTTCCCCACAATCCCCATAGTCTCTATGCAATGCTGGTATTGCAGAAGCCAGAAGGTTTTGAGCTGAAGCATGTAGGAGGCATGGGTATTTAGTTTGTTTCTTTATCCCGCAGAACAAGGGAAGCTTCTTGTTGGGGTTTGGAGCTTGTCGCTGGGAGTGGTTAATATGAGGTGTGCACGATAGCTTATGGCAAGAAGGTTCCCCTAACCTGTCATTTCTTGCGTGGGTGTGTATTGCCCTGGAGCAAGCTTAACTGCTTTTTTAACAGAACCTTTTGGTGGGAATTGTAAGGAAAGCATTTCTCTAACTGCCTGAGCATTGCTGTGTTTTTTTGGCCCTACCTATACCACAGCATAAAATATTCTGTACATTGGGAATTCTCAAGACTTGATAGTAATCTCAGTGGCACCCAATTTAAACAGAATAATCCCTGATTTACATTGGCATGAATTAGAGTTTTCCATATATAATGCAGTATTTTGCCTCTCTCAGATGTAGGCACGAACACCATTCTCAGACTCCTTACAGAGAGTTAACTGCAGATGAATCATATTAACACTTTTGCTAAGAGCCATTACCTCCAAACTGCCTCATTGAAAAGGACCAAAAGGGAAAAGGAGAAAATATATGTGGCACTGTTTACCCAGGGGGTACTGAGGGCTGTAGATACTGAAGACCATCTCAGTGTCTTTGAGGTTGGTAGGGTTCACATGACAGACTTAGGTATGTGTACAAAAAAAGCACAAATTCTGCTGTTATGCGATTGGATTATTTTGGATGAGAACTGAACCTTCAGCCACCTTCACTTTTGTGACTCCTATAGCTAAAGAAAATATTTTGGTTTCGCTTTGCTTGCAGCTCTTACTCCACCAGCATCTTTTCCTAAACTACAACAAAGTATAACTTCAGCCCATACCTTTTCTTTGTACTGCTACTAAGGCAGAAGAGTGCAGCATTCCCCTGTGTGGGCAAACTGAAGTAACTGGGAATATAAAGGATCGTATCGCTTCAGGTATAATTTGCAAGGGGCTCAGGGACACAGAGGGGCACGAGAGAGATGGGGAGAAAGGTGGGTCTCTGCACTTCACTTCTACTGCATTAAGGGTGTTGGTGTTGCTGTAGATGTAGAATAAAGATATTCTCACCTTGAATTCCTCCAAAGCAATTCTTTCATGTGGTTGCCTCAGTAGAATGAAGTCTTTACGTAACAGACAGCAGACCCACCCAGACTAAGCCAAGGACTAACTGTTCGTGTTTAGAAACAAACTTTCCCCATGGCACATTATTCATAGCCAGTCACTTGCCAGTTTTCTCTTGGAAGACAGAAACTAAACATTAGGAATAAAGGCAATGCACAGTGTAGTCTCCCCCCCCCCCTTTTTTTTTTTTTTTTTTTTTTTTTTTTTTTTTTTTTTTTTTTT